TGAAATCTTGATACCAACCCTCTATATGGACCTTTCCTTTAAAGATAATGTATGGAGGAAGCACCTAACTAGTAGAGTTAATACACTTAATTAAAGTAACCCATTCCTGATTGCCTGGCTGTACGAGAGAGGCCTTCCCATAGTAATCAGCTCTAGTAACTACTCGTGCAGTAGCTACTAGGCCCATAGCAAAGCCAGTTTCATTAAAATTATAGATATCTTCTTGTGCAATCCCATGTTGCATTATAGTGATAAGTACGCGGTCAAACCACTCCTTAATCACTTTAGGGTCTTCGCATTTTGCTCATTAATAATTATAGCATTGAGTATAGCATGTTTTCACTTCATCATGTTATTTAATGAAGTTAGTAACCCAATTCTCTCTAACTGATTAAGTAGGTGTCGTACCGCGCTCAGCAAGAAGAATATTAGCCATTTCTCATATATGGGACGGTCGGGGGGCTGCTCCACGTCAATCTAGCAAAAGAATCCATTGTATAAGTGATTCCTCTTCATTTTGAGTCAGTTTATGACTATTGGCGCGTATTTCTGAGCATGAAGTTCTTCCATTAAGTTGTTGATGTAGAGTTTCATAGCAGATATCGAAAACACATGCAGCTTCATGAATACTGCGAATTTCTTGCTTTTGAATAGCTGATATTGTAAGTAGGACCCTCCCCTCTTTCTCAATAGAGTTATTTAAATTTTGACGTGCTTTTGGAGGCATGGTTCGTAGTTGAATTAGATGAGATTTTTGGTCCCATCCAAAACACGTTAGGTGTCACGCTCACTTGTGTGTCACGCTCACTTGTGAAATATGTTAGTTAATGTAATCCACGGCCGAGCGGCGAATACGACCGAAGTGCGAATTTTCGCCGCAACCACCATGATTTTGAAGCTTTTAAACACCAACGCCATTAAATTAGCATATGTAAAAGATAGAATAGCTAGCTATCTATTAGGACAACTTCTTCTATTATGTCCAATAGTGTGGTGGTGCACGCTGTTGAGCTGTAGATAGGGCCGCTTCAACCTGGATATTAACCTGTGTATCAAGCTGATGAACACGATTTTGACCTTCTTGTATAGATAAAAGGACATCTTTCCCTATTAGAGCACGCCTTCTTGCCTTCTTCTTTATTTTCCGCTCATTTTCAGCTCATAGAAGCTTGATTTCTTCTTGAAGAAGAAGATTCGTATTCATTGCCATCTGCGCGGCCTTTTCAAGATGCCGAATATAAGCTATTAGACTGCTAGATAGCTTCCTTTTTTGTATGCTTCTCTGTATAGTGCGGACCTTGTGATCAAGCTAGCAAGGATTCTGAGGAGTTTGAAAAGCAGAGGAGATAGAGCCTCCAATAAGTGGTGGTGTTGGCGTACGAAGTTGAAAGGTAATCTTTCCAAGGACCTGATCTTCATTTAACAGCTTTAGACCAGCTCCTGCGAAGCCATTGCATATATTTGCTTGGTTAAACACCTTGTCTTGTGCTGGAGGATATAGGTGCAGGAAATCCTCCTTATCAATATGATTATTTCCAGCCATCATCATTCCTTCAACTAGTTTCCCATAGGCACGCTTAAGCGGCCCGAAAACGCCAACATCCAGTGGTTGTAGAAGATGAGAAGTATAAGGTGGCATGCAGAGACAGATGATTACATTCTCCTCACAGAAGGTATCAAATTCTGGAGTTAAATGGCTAGAATGGCCATCAAGGATAAGCAACCGCTTTGCGTTGAATAGTGTTTAGAATATGGTTCAAACACATCCTTTAACCAGTGAAGACCAATTATATCTGTCATCCAGCCATTCTCACTCTTTGCAATCTTCCAGTCCCTATTCCTATCCTGAAGAAGCATAGGTTCTTGATACTAAGCAGCCTGGTGTTCTTTTCCCTTCAAGATAACCACTGGTTGTATAGAAATCCCTCTTGAACTGACACATTCAATGATCATGACCCATTCGCGGTTTCCTTGGATAACTGTACAAGGTCTCTCACTGCGTTCCACTGCAGTAATAACCTTAGATGTTGTGCAGAGCCCCATTGCAAAGCCAGTTTCATCAAAGTTCCAGATATCATCTTCATGTATACTGTGTTCCTGAATAGCTTTGCGTACAGTCTCAAACCACTGTCTGATAAACTTGGGATCCTCCTGTTTCGCCCTCTGCCCTCTGGTATGTAATCCTTCGATTATACCTTGTACGTAGTTCAGGGCGACATTTAGTAAAGGAATAGGCCCAGTTTACTCCAAGAACTACCGTTGAATCTTGTGTCCGTTCACAGAGTAAAATCTGTGCCATTCCACGCAGGAATTCTGGCCGAATTGAGAAGCCTCACTTATCTGCATCTAGCAGTCGCTTAACAAGTGTTCCCTCTTCATTGGCTGTTAATTTATGGCCATTTGCACGTGTTTCTGTTCGTGGTTTAACTCCAGCTAGCCGCTTGCGAAGGGAGGATTCAGAGACACCATATATCTGGGCAGCCTTTAATTTTGAATTAACTTTCTTCTCTTTCCATGCAGTAATTGCCATTTGCATACGGGCTTCCTTAGATAGAGGCATTTTATATATAAAATGTAAAGAAATGGCGCGTTAGAAATGGTTGAATTGAATGTTTTGGTGGTTGCGGCGAAAATTCGCACTTCAGTTGTATTCACCACTCGGCCGTGGATTATGTTAACGTAATCGGACACCGAGCGAGACATGACACCAAGCGAGACACCCTTCAACCCCTGAAACCCTGCAACCACCAAATCACCATCGGATCCAGGTTTCCATCCAATATGGCATTAAAACAAACTGATTCAACAGTCGAATTAGAAGATCGCATATTACTTGCTGTCAAAGCATACCAAAATGGCCAGTTTAAAAGTATACGAGCAGCAGCAGCAGCATATGATGTTCCACATTCCACTCTAGCCCATTGAATCAAGGGTCGAAAAGCAAGGACTGACATACCAGCAAACTGCCAGAAGCTTAGCAGTCTAGAAGAAGCTTCCCTAAAGAAATGGATTCTGGATATGGATGAGCGAGGACTACCACCAACACATGCTGCAGTTCGCAAAATAGCAGATTTACTACTCCATGAGTGAAAGGGGGAAGCAGTCAGTGAGAGATGGATCACTAGATTCATCAAATGGCATGATGAACTTATATCCAAATACACTCGCAAATATGATTACCAGCGTGCAAAATGCGAAGATCCGGAAGTCATCAACTAATGGTTTAATCTTGTTCAGAATACTATAGTAAAATATGGTATTCTTGAACAGGATATCTACAACTTTGATGAAACTGGCTTTTAAATGGGTGTGGCCTCTATAGCAAAGGTTATTACTGCATCTCGTCACCGAACAAGCCGTGTACGAGCTGTACAGCCAGGGAATCGTGAATGGGTGACTGTCATTGAATCTATTAATGCTTCTGGATGGTCTCTCCCCCCTATGATCATCTTCTCTGGCAAGGTCCATCAATCTCAATGGTATCAAGACATCAACCCTGATTGGGTGATTGGTCTAAGTGATAATGGATGGACCAATAATGAGCTTGGTTTATTCTGGTTAGAAAAGATCTTTGAGAAGCATACTGCAACACGCACCCTAGGAAGATATCAGCTTCTGATTCTTGATGGCCATGCTAGCCATGAATCTGCGGAGTTTGATCTTTTCTGTAAGAACCATCAAATTGTCCCTCTTTATATGCCTTCTCATTCATCTGATAAACTGCAGCCTCTTGATGTTGCCTGCTTTGCACCACTAAAAGAGGCATATGGTGCCGCGGTGATGAGAAGCATCCAGAATGGCATTCATCACATTGATAAGGAAAACTTCCTTGATCTTTATAAAGAATCACGGAAGGCCTTATCATCCAAGAATATCCGCAGTGGATTTGAAGCTTCTGGTTTAGTTCCTTTGAATCCCCAAAGGGTGCTGGATAAGCTTACTATCAAGAATATCACCCCCCCCAAATACTGCTTATGGACCTCTAGAGGGTGAATGGATTGCAAAGACCCCTTATACCTCTGCTGAGGTGCAAAAGCAGATGGAGCTTATCAAGCAGCTTGTGAATCACAACTCCCAAAGTCCCCCAACTGAGGCTATCCGTCAGCTAGCGAAAGCAGCTGAAACTACCATGCATAAAGTTATTCTATTACGGCACCAGGTAATTGAGCTTCGTGCAGCAAACAAAAGGCAAAAGCGAAAGCGCGCGGCCCCTAGATCTTATATTGCTACTGGGGGTGTCTTGACAGGGTCTGAAGGTCAGCAACTTGCTCAAGAAGCTCTACAGGCTATGGACTTGGTGGAACCAGTTTGTAAAAAGCGTGCGCCACCACGATGCAGTAACTGTCATCACATTGGTCATATTAGAACAAGCTGTCCCAGTAGAACTAGGTAATTCGAAAACTTTTGCTTTAATTTGACTGCGTGGTAGTAAGATATCTCATGGTTTTCAGCCTCGGTTAAAATCACGTTCAGGTGTCTTGCTCAGTGTCATGTCTCACTCGGTGTCCGATTACATTAATCCTAAAAGGATTACTAAGTAATCTAAATACATACTTAATCTAGACAGACTTTCATAGAGAAACTATATAGTAGTATATTACTATATGACTACTAATATTTATACCTACTAAAAAGAGTATAGACTAGAATTATATATATAAATTATATATATTAATATAATATAGGTAAATGGGTACCTATAAACTAACCTATATAGAATTATAGATTTAGGGGTGAGTTTTACTATTATCGGTTGACCCAAAGTCCCAAACCCAACCCATGACCATGGTGTCTACAGTCCGTACACAACACCCCTACTAGGCAACAGAAAGTGTTAGTATTAAGCTACTTATAGATGCCCTGGCCTAGGTGCTATATAAGAATATGCGACTATGACTGCCTAGTCCTTCACTGATTAATCTGATGTAGCTAACATTTTTAGCACAAATTATTGTATCACAACTAAAATGCCCAAACTTGCATACAGCAAGATAAATCAACTATACACCAGAATCGTCCTGGAAACGACCATTGGGTTCATAGAAATGTTTTGGGTTAGAATACCACTGTTTCCAACGCTGGCATGTTCTGTTAAATTGTTCTTTTTGCCAATGTTGTGTGTCCCACTGATACTCCTTGAACTCCTCTTTGCTTTCCAATATCTGGAATGCTAGCCCAGCAGATGCATGCCAAGCAATGTGGCAATGGACCGCCCAAGCTCCGGGGTTGTCAGTTTTGAAGGCAATGACCACAAATCCATTCTTTGGCAGAAGCACCACATCGCGGCGAGGTGGATTGTCGTATGTCAAATTTCCTAGTGAGTCCGTCCCATTGTAAGGATACTCTGACTGTTTCAGTAGCGCGAAATCATGGCCATGGAAGTGTAACTTTGCATAAACCGTGCGTCAGAATGGACTGGTGCCCTTAAAGAGTGTTGAGTCTACTTACCGGATGCGCAGCAGGGACCAATTTACCTCCCTTTGGGGGACCAAAATTTGTCTGATTTCCGATGATTACCATATAGCTCCAATTTCCGTTACCCTGTTGGTGAAGGGGTGACTTTTCAACTGGATATACCGCGTCATTATCGCCAAATGGCCCATCAGTATTGTTCACTGTTGGCTTTGAATAGTCCACCCAAAGGGGGTGCCTCATCATTTGCCAGTTATTCACCTCAGGGCCTGTCAAGTTCGGCCTGTGTGGCTCTGCAGGAAGGAACCATTTTGCAAGCATGATAGTCGAGTTGGGTACGCCGAGCTCCAATTTTTCGTCCTTATTAAGTCGCGGCACATTCCACGGAACGACGGGCCGCAGCCTTTCATGTGGCTCATCACGACAGGTATAATTGTATTTACCCTCAGTTGTCGTCGGCCATTCGTTCTTATGGCCCTGGTAGTACAGGATGCCCTGCCTCACATCAAGTTGTTCACCAAAGTTATTGCAGTGATCAGCTGGCACAGTCCGCATCCAGAATTCATCCGTCCCATTTCGCTGTTCATCAGGCCATGTATTTAGCACAACATGGTATCTTTGCCCTGGGCATATGTCAGTGCATACCTCTGCCAGTCATACAGAAGGTCATTACCCACCGATTCCAATTGCCAAATGGTCTGTTACATAAGGGTTAACAGGGACGAGGTCCGACTGGACAACCGTAAAGTTGTGGTTATCAATGGCGAATACATAGGTTGTATCAGTGGACGTGTTGATCAGTCTCATTAAGTAACGTTTGCCCTGGGGAATATCTTTAGGGCAATGCTTGGTACAGCCGGAACTGTGACTTACAGCTTCAACAGTATTGTTGTGTCTCTCAGGCAATATACCAGCATAGCTTCCTAGAACGCACATCAGTCATGTCCACTAATACACTTGCATAGATAGGTAAACATACCACGTCCATTGATTAAGATACTTGTCATCTTTGGAGGTGGCCTATTATGACCGGAAAATTGCTCCTGATAGTAGTCTTGGAAGGCACTTCTGTGATTGTGGTCGCCCAAGAGAATTGGGTCAATAGACTCATCCCAGTTGGCCGATGTGGGCCCATGAATGGTCAGAGGACCATAAATACCATCACTGTATTGAAGTGAGTAGTGGCTGTGGTACCAGGTGGTGCCATATTGTGTGGCTCTGAATTTGTATGTAAAACTCTCCCCTGGAGCAATTGGGCACTGAGTAACACCAGGTACGCCATCCATCAGACTATTATTAAGCATGCGCAGCCCATGCATATGAATAGCTGTTCCATTGTAGGTTAGGTTATTCGTGATAGTGACGTCTGTTACCCATTAAAGTTAATTAATTCTTTAACGCCCTTTCCATGTACTTACGAACTGAATCTCCCCAGCATGCCTCTACACACTTTATCAGCATCAGTCTCTGCGTAGTGTGGAAGTGACTTACGAATCCAGGGTCCAGGAAAGGTTCCATTGAACATCTTTGCCCCAGGAAAGGGAATTCCATCCCAATTCGCCGTGGTATCATTGTTGACGACGATATGGTACTTTATAAGGTCTTATATCAGTATAGTCTCTGACTCCACATAGTACACTATATACTTACATCGCGCCGTACTCCCTGTGGCCAGGACGTCTCATAGTCAGTTGTGATGTTGTACTCACGCCCGGTTTTATTATTCCGGAGCCAGACACCTCTTAGATCTGGTGAATCCGGATGCCACCAACCGGGCAATCCCGTGTAATTGCACTTTATGCTATTATCTTTACCAGTACCCGGTGGCTCAAAAATTGGTGGTGCGAGGTTGGTTTCCTCCAGAGTGGTGTTATCTTCTTTTAATAAAGGCGCCTGGTCGAGCGGATCCAGTCCAATCAAGGACGTGAAACCGAAGTACCTGATCAAGCTGATCACGTAAAGCTTAAGCTGCATTATGTAGGGAAAGGACCCCAAGTAGGATTGATATACTGACTGATTTAACCGGGGATCCCACTTCTATTGAATCAAGATTGAGGAAGAAAATATTAAATTTCTGCGGGAGGATTCCTCTTCAGACCTTAAATGTCCAACATATAGTGGCAATCTGGTTATGGAACCCACCACCATGGTGCTTGTAGTAGCATACGTCAAAGACGTCACTCTTTCTATGACAATTGCTACATACGTCAACGACCGAGGGGGCGAAGAAATTGCTCCCTGGTGTGCCCAACAATGTTGACGAATATGGTAAAAGCGCAATCGACGGAAGCTTGCATAGTTGCAAACCTTATACAACTTAAGTTTACAAAGGATAAGCATTGACGGAATCTTTCACAATTGACTTTGGTAGTACGTCGACCATTTGCAACTCAAGAGACCTCGGCCACTCTCTAGAAGCCTCATGCTTGATCTAACAGCTCCGTTTATTGGAACGTTGCCGATATAAATGGAGCAAGCCTCCCCGCTCTTACCACAAGGTCATTATGTCATTTGTACTGTTCCAATGCTTACAATGGGCATTCCATAGAATTTTAATTAATGAAATGCAGTAATACTCACTAGTAATGGAACCATGCATAAGGTCCATGCTCTCCCATACTAATTATATTTTGCGCATGAAACGACAGACAGAAATTTGAACGTTTGGACAGGGTCTTTCTTGTGCAGCACGATGCAGGGTCCAGGGCACGCACGTATGATTACTTCCAAACTTCTATTTTATTCTTTTAGCTATAAACAGCTTGATTAATTCTTTATATATCTTTTAATGATAATACCATCATTAAGATCACTGTCTTTGAACTCATCAAATGTGTAGGTTTTATCAAGATATGATGGAGGTGTTGACATGATTTTCTATAGGATTATGACGGGAATTGGGGGATGTGATCAGGATAGTTGAGGGGCCGATGAGGAGTGTGGGAGCCATCTAGGAGCAAGCTCCCGTAATCTGTTTAATCCTATAGTTTAGTTAGTGGCACAGAATTACATAACCCACCTGTAGCACTGCCTTTACAGGTGCAAGGCCATCTATATTTGCTCCTTGGCGGCGACTGGATGTCTTCTGTCTCTACTGAGTAGAGTAGGGACGATGGAAGCGACTGGTGGATTATCTGCGTCCTCTTTTAATAAAATACAGTGTTGATTAACCTCACGCGTAGAAGCTGTTGATAAGCTAGAACGCCAACTGGGGTATTCTTGGAATGTACGGAGGCTACTCTCAAGCTATTGCCATCACTAGCATGAGTTGGAGGACTATGGGTCTATTGGTTAGGCCCATATTAGCAGGGTTCATGATGGAGAGATTCAGCTATTTTGAACTATAGTGTGTACTGGGTATGCTTCCTCCTTGACATTATTTATATTTATAGTTATATTGCTGACGCAATATATTGACCATCTCCATCACCCATGCCATAGTTGCCGCCGTTTACCTCAGTCCCCGTCCTACCTTAGAGGTTATCGAGGGAATTGAGAAGTATAGTAACCGGGACTCTAGTTAATACCTATTATTAGAGATTTCAGAGTCTATGTTAGTAGCTCCTGCAAGACTGGTGAAAAATAACACAATGTTGACGCAAGATTGAGATCTTTTAGTAAAGTGTTTCTTCCTTTGTCATGGCCCTGTTGCTTAGGCCATAATCATATTAAAAATGCATTGCGCCCTTTAAGATAACCCATTTAATCAAGTTGATTGTCTTTCAGCCTTCAATACGTACAGCATAAGTGTATAAATCAAGCTTACATTGATCGCTCACCACGTCAATCTCCCTCCATACAAGCCAAGAAAAACACGAAAGGAGCGCCAGCCTGCCTTCACTGCCTGCCCTCACGACGGCGGAGAAGTAATTGGCAAACGTAAAGAACCTAATTGAGCAGGCGCTTCTGACGGCTGCGGGTTGGCGGCAATGGTGGCAGTGCTCTTGTCTGGCGGGGTATTGGACTGAAACAGATAATAGCTCCCCGGTCCCCAGATTCTCAAAGTCGCTGTCAGTGCTCTCTCCTTCCTCGAAGGTCTTTCTATCCTTTCCATTCATTTCTTGGAATTCCCGGACTGACCGAGCTCTATATATTTATGACTGGGCTAGCCGATGTCCGTAAACCCAACGCAATCAAACTTCAATTTCCGGGCTGACTGAGACGGACCCGTAGCAAGTTAGCTTGGGCCGGTCGCCATGGACCAGTGGCTCTTGGAACGTGCTGTTGAAGAGTACTGTACCATGGGAGAAAAGCCTTCCAGCTCGAGTTCGCTACAGCGGAAACCTATAACAGCGTGCGAAATATGTCGGCAGAAAAAGAGACGTTGTGACACTGAGACTCCTTGTGCAACTTGTCGGCGCCTCTCCCGTGCTTGTATTCGCCCCCAAAGAAAGGGTGAGATACACGGAATATTAGAACCTAGGATTCAGCGATTGGAATCTCTGATTTCGGAACTCGGCGGCAACTGGTTCGCTGGCCCGGGTCAAAATGGTGCCGGGACAGAGCAACAAGGCTCTTCTCCGCTATACTTGTCGACTGATTCTGAAATTATGCGGCACTCCGCTGAAATGTACCAGCCATCTCGTTCAGTCGCGGATAGCATCTCTGCCACATCAGTATCCTTACCTGCTACGCCGTCTCCGCGCTATATCGCCTCCGAGGTTCCCGATGCATTCTCTACAAGCTTTCACCAAGTACCAGAGGCACTTTCACCAGGATATCCTACGTCGCCTACAACAGCTTCCTCACGTCTGACCGATATGCCACCACAGTATCTTCCTCTTTCAGCATCATCCCTAGCCATGGGCACAAACTGTGCCTCACCCGCAATTCATGATTCTCTGCATTCTGCTACCAGCAAGGCCCCGACCATAACTACCTCACCCACCAGATTCGAGGCCGAGACACTTCTGGACATATTTTTTGACAAGGTCGGAGGGGCTAAGTATACCGTCAGTCGGGAAATGTTCCAATTATTCCTGGATGTTATATACTGTTCCTTGCCTGTTTCCTACGATTGGAAAATCCCCTACATCGATATCATATCCAAATTCCATGTCTACATGGCAATGGCAATCGGTTTACGGATGAAAACCGAGGGTCACCCCACAGAACGCCAACTTTTGGAGATATGCTATCGGCTTGCACTTGAAGCCGCTAGAGCACCAGATTTCTGGTCACTGCCTCTCTCGGCAGAGGCGGCAATGCTCTTCATGTTGTTTGCCCAAGTCAGCTAATGATAGGTTAACAGTTATCGCTGTATGTGAATTTAGTACCTTTTCTGCTTGCCCTATCGGGGTTACAATTGAGTTTGATAGTGGCCTTGGCAGAAATATATAACTTCGAGCTCCTCAAGGCCAAGCGCTTGCCAGAACCGAAAAACGGACATATGTCCCGAAACCTACTGCAACACGAGCCGAATGACTCAATAACTGTGAGCTTACTGTTATTCCTTGCCTTTGACGACACCAAGCCGGTTGTTGTCCGACATGTCCCGACCCTTTTTTGTTCTGATCATCCTGCTGCTGCTTCTTATTGGGCGACGACTCCTTGATCGCTTTTTATGGTTCCATACTCTGTTCAGCACCCCCGCACATGTGGAGGCTGTGCAAGGGAAACGTGTGGTCGAATTTCCAGTCAATTTATATTGACATGATACCCCTTTTGATCGCCTGTTTATGACTTCTCGCAGCTTCCGCATCTGTGGGGTAGCGAGGTCGTTGCCCACGGTTGTACTGTAAGTGATCAAGTCTGTGAATGGAAAAGAGGGGCATATTTGGATAAAGGGCTGGACTCCGTAGGATAGATATATATCAGAAAAGTCTTCCGACGGATTATTAGACGTATCATAGCCGAACGGCGGGAAGATGCAAGCTCGGTTTCTTAAACTAGACTCGCTTGATTTGCCCGGATAAATCAAAGAAATTTGGCCGTTTATACCAGTAATGAACTTTCCCAAATCACTGACGTCCATAATATTCATATCCACAATATGCCGTACCATAACCTAGCTAGGTTGAATCATATCCAAACAAACCATGCACTGTGCGGTCCTTAGTCTTCCCGTTGTCCTCTTGCTAGTGCGGAGCCGGCGGAGTCATCAGCTGTCGTTATCTCCCTTCTCCCGCGTTCTCGATGTGCACGATCTCCTTCTTCTTCTCATCTGACTGGACCCCGCCAATTTCATAGTCAAAAGCAGTGGTGGCGCCAAATAACGCCTCCATCTCCTCCAAGGTTTTTCCTTTTGTCTCAGGGACAAAGAACCACGCCCAGAAGCCCATGCAGATCATCAGTGACGCGAAAAAGAAGTACGTACCGTAGCCAAGCGACGTAATCATGTATGGTGTGGTGCGACTGATGATGAATGACCAGAGCCACTGGTCGGCTGTTGTGATCGCTACACACAGCATACGAATATCAATTGGGAAGATTTCCGCACACACTACCCAGGTGATACCCTGGAAGAACCGCCAGCTCAGCTCATGGCCAAAGGACATAGCGGGAAATAGGGGCACAACTTACCTGCCAAGTTGCGCAGTAAATGAGCCCATAGAGGTAGACGCAAACCATGGCAATATAACCCCAGGCAGTACGCACCGTGTCCCCTCGGGCTGACGTGCCTGTTGGGTCCTGTTTGAAGACATAGCCCCCTATGTACCACATTGGAAGGCTGCCTATAAAGGCACCCCATACCAGTCCACTGCGCCGCCCCACCCTCTCAACCAGCCACACACTGAAAATGACCATCCCAACTGTTTTCGCGATCCCGTAGAACCCAGTTGCAAATAACTTTGTGTTAGTGCTACCGATACCAAGTGTTTCAAAGATCCGCGGGGAGTAGCTTCAAGTCATACTATTAGCGGGAGTGCTCCTTCCAGAGGCGACATTGTGATCCTTACTATGTGATAATGTTCACGCCCGTCAAATTCTGAAAAGCCATTAACAAAAGACCAATGCCGATACGATTCCGAGTCCCTTTTTGGCTCAAGCGCCTCACATAGTACCACGGGCTATGCTTGGTTGTCGGGGGAGCAAGGCCGATTAGGATCTGCTCACGGATCTGCTGAAGTTCGTCCTGAATGAAGGGATGGTCTGCAGGCAGAGTGCGTACCCATGTCAAACTGCGTTCTGCTTCCTCCCATCGATCTTTTCTAGCGTACCATCGCGGAGATTCAGGACACCAAAAGACTCCCGCTAGGAGCAGACCACCTGGTAGGAGCTGTAAGCCCAAGGGCACTTGCCACTGAGACCTCAGAGAGGAGGATATCGTGCGGTTAATGGCGTAGTTGATCCAGAATCCTAACATGCCGCCACCTTGCGAGCAGATTTCGAAAATACCAACCAGCCGACCTCGGATTGACGATGGTGACTAGACTTGATTAGCTCTGATGACAGATTGGTTACTGAGAAACGAATTCGCTTCGCTCACCATTTCCGCTATATAGACCGGTACTTGGAGAGACACAGATCCAATTCCGAATCCTGCGATGGCACGACCAGCATAAATCAAACCCAAGTGACCGGATGCAGCAGTCTTGAAGAGCGAGATGGTTAGTTTCCCTGTCTGGCTGCTCTTGGAAATAATGATAATCTTCTCACCATCAAACTGCCTCCTACACAGAAGACGCTCACTGCGATGACAATCGCCAATTTCCGTCCAAACCTTTCTGCAAGCGGGAAGGTGAGAAGTGACCCGAAGAAGCATCCAACTTGAAATGTGGATACAATGTTGCCTTCCAGTGTATCCGTCTCTGACTTGGATACTTTGTCCAGGCCGAAGTCTCGACGAAATGACTCCAGGGCCATAGTTCCGCCAATGACGCTGGTGTCATAACCCACTGTAATGATGGTTAGTATGGCATCACGTCGGCTGCGACTAGGACTTACTAGCAATGGCTCCCATGCTCATCACCACGGCGATAAGGTGTATTCGCCAATTACGGACCTCAGGTGGATCATTGCTGTTTTTGGCATGGAGGGTGATACCCATATTGACGAGCGTTTAGAATCAATGAACAATACTAACCTCCGGAAGGCTAGTTCAATCGAAACAGTGGGAACGTTTGGAAAGGCAAGAGACCCTTGTGGGGGAGGCTGTACGTCTTTATGTGGGTTCTGAACAGGGGACCCTCCTCCGCATCCTCGTCTCCAGTCATTATCTTGGCAGCGGGTTACTGCTGGACCACGTGTGTGTTTAAAGTTATACATTTACAACTTAATTTCAAGTAACATACATGATTCTTACTATTTTGTTGACCAACTACCGGTATGACGGCTGAGTAAAGTCCAAAGAATTGATGCATGTTGTGTTGCTCTGGTCCGCGCCCTTGCTCCCTGGAGACTTGGCACCTCGCTCTCAATACTTGCGACTAGTAACAGGCTCGTGTTGAATCCGCCAAGAGCGGAAATTTCCCTTGACTCTGTTCAAGGTTACATGGTGATTCAGAATCTGTCGCTTCCAAGGGTTAGGTAGCGGTCAAGACCTTGACCCCGGGCTTGGCGAGGCCAGTCCGGCTATCATGGCGAGGCTGTGCAACAGAAGCCATGCATTATCCGGGGTAGACCTCGATAAATTGCGGGGTGGGTTATGTCCCCCAGACCCAAAACCCCACCCCCCGCTCCCCCACTTCGGCCTGAATTGGAAAAGCTTTGGAGATTTGCGTTCAGGATGCGGGCGAGACCATGTGCTAATTGTCTCGGCGTCGGCTCTGCGGCCTGTGCAAATACCTTGCGTCAGGGATATCGATGCCCGCCGTTTCGCCCACATATCCCTCAAGCCTGTCTTTCTTGGTATACCGCAATCTGCATGATTTCCGGAGGTTAGGGCGCTCTTGGGTCACGCTGATTGCCGGGATTTTTTTCAAGGCGCGGTGGCCTTCCGCAAGCACTGCCTCGCTCGATCGAAGGCCGAGAGCCTAGGCAACCTCCTCTTGCAAAGTGCTTCTCGCCTCTGATACCCGATCCAAAGAAATTCCTTAACACTTACTGACTATCTCGTGGGCAGTTTCACAGAGCAGCCAAGCATGGTGGTTCTCTCTGCGGAGTGATCAACTGCATGCCACCTCTCTTCATGCCGTGAGCCCCTCCGTACAGACCATTGGCTCGTCGGAGAGCGAATACCAGGAATTACTGACCATCTTCAAAGCCTCATTGCGGTTTAACTCGCGGAGCTGTCGCCGCTTCTCGGATCTCCAAGCCATCTGGGAGCTGGCTTGGCACGGAATTATGAAATCTTGGAGATGTCCCCAGCCATTGTTTGAGACGGCTTGGGGTTAGCACAGCCTTCTGTGACCTGAACAAGTCCAGGCAGCTCTTGGAGTGGAGCTTTTGAGCGACATCATGATCAGGGTTCAAGGGTGATGAATGTGTTAAATGCTCGTTCGGTCCTCCTTGATGTCCCTTCTGACTCAGGCCTGCAATCATTTGTCCAAAGGCTCTGGACGCTACATTTTCTCTCCTTCCGAATCATATCCAAGCGACACGATGGCATCATCTGAAAAGGAAGCGGACACTTCACCCCAGGCGCCTGTTCCCACCATTACAGTCCAAGTTCCGGTACCTACGTGACCCGTCATGCATAAATACCCAACTATATATTCAATCTCCTAACATTGGCTCAGGATCCCATTTCCGATACTTTCGCGGCCAATGAAATAAATAGAGACCTCCTAGAGAACCCCACCCGAAATAGATCGCTTAGTGATCTAACGGCCACAAGCTGCGTCTACACCGGTCGAGATCGAGCGATGAGTGAAACTACAATGGCACCAAGTAGTCCGAGGTTGAGTCTGCCGAAAGGTGAAACGGACCAGCTGTCTAGCCTTGCATCCAGCATTTTCTCAGCACATGAGCAAGAAGAAGCTCTGCGACCAGACCCTGGCACTGAGGCAGACTTTATGGTCGACAATAATCCCTTTCACTTTTCTCCCGGCCAACTTAACAAGCTTCTGAATCCGAAGTCTTTACCTGCACTCTTAGCTCTAGGAGGGCTCCCGGGGCTGGTAAACGGTCTTCGTACGGATCCCAATGCAGGCCTCAGTGCAAATGAAACTTCAGTACCGGACGGGTCCCATTCGAAGGAACCCTTTGCGGACCGCATCCGTGTCTTCAACCGAAATGTCCTCCCAGATAAGAAGGCAACACCCCTCTGGAAGCTCATGTGGATGGCCTACAACGACAAGGTGCTCATTCTGCTTACCGCAGCTGCCGTTATTTCCTTGGCCCTAGGCCTGTACGAGACTTTTGGTGTGGAGCATCCCCTAGGTTCAGGAATGCCCCTTGATTGGGTTGAAGGTTGTGCAATTTGTGTTGCTATCATCATCGTCGTCATGGTGGGATCGTTGAACGACTACCAGAAGGAACGAGCGTTTGTCAGGTTGAACGCGAAAAAGGAAGACCGTGAAGTGACTGTGATTCGATCTGGAAAAGCTCTTAGAATTTCCGTTCATGACGTCCTCGTCGGTGATATTCTTCATCTGGAGCCTGGGGACCTTGTTCCCGTTGATGGCATCTTTATCGGAGGCCACAACGTGAAATGCGACGAGTCATCGGCCACTGGCGAATCTGACCAGCTTAAAAAAACAGGAGCTGAACAAGTCATGCGATTGCTCGAGCAAGGACATAGCAAGCAACAGGATCTAGATCCCTTCATCATCTCTGGAAGCAAGGTCCTTGAAGGTGTTGGTACATGCGTGGTCACTTCAGTGGGCATTAATTCCAGCTACGGCAAGATTCTCATGGCCATGCGTCAGGACATGGATCCCACACCCCTTCAAAAGAAGCTGGATGGTTTAGCTGGAGCTATTGCTAAATTGGGAGGAAGTGCTGCGGTGCTTCTATTCTTTGTCTTGTTGTTTCGCTTCCTGGGCAGCCTTCCGGGTAACCACCAAACCAGCACAGAGAAGGCGTCTCAATTTACTGATATCCTCATTGTTGCAATTACTGTCATTGTGGTGGCTGTCCCAGAGGGCCTTCCTCTTGCTGTTACTTTGGCACTCGCTTTTGCAACCACACGCATGGTGAAGTTGAACAATCTGGTCCGAGTGCTGAAGTCCTGCGAGACGATGGGTAACGCTACCACGGTCTGCTCAGACAAAACAGGGACACTAACTCAGAACCGCATGACTGTTGTTACCGGCACCTTTGGTTCTGATGAATTCGACGACAAGAACCAGAGCAGCAATGGCCGACGCTCTGCAGCTTTTGCAAACGACATGCTCCCGGATCATAAAAAAGAAATTATCGAGTCTATAGCGATCAACTCTACAGCGTTTGAGGGCGAGGAAAACGGCATTCCTGGTTTTATCGGCTCAAAAACAGAAACTGCCCTTCTTGGATTCGCTCGTGATGTCCTTGGAATGGGGTCTTTGGCCGAAGAACGTGCCAATGCCACCGTCATACAGCTGATGCCTTTTGATTCAGGCCGTAAATGTATGGGTGCTGTGGTCCGATTATCCGATGGTACGCATCGATTTCTTGTCAAGGGTGCGTCTGAAATCCTCCTTGGGTACAGCTCCTCGCTCTGGATGCCATCAGGACAGGTTGCCCTTGGCTCCGAGGAACGCGAGCGACTGGAGGGAGTTATCCTGAATTACGCAAAACAGTCACTCCGCACTATTGCACTGGTTTTTCGTGATTTTGCAGAGTGGCCTCCTAGTTATGCTGTCAACCCAGAAGATCCTTCTAAGGCCGATCTTGGTCTCCTGCTGAGCAACATGACATTTCTTGGTGTTGTTGGTATCCAGGATCCTATTCGTCCTGGTGTTCCAGAGGCCGTAGCCAAATGCCACCATGCCGGTGTGACAGTTCGCATGGTCACTGGGGATAACATGGTTACAGCCAAGGCTATTGCAACTGATTGTGGAATCTACACAGGAGGGATTGTGATGGAAGGGCCTCGATTCAGGTCTTTGAGTGACGAGGAATTCAAGGATGTCCTGCCTCGACTGCAGGTTCTTGCGCGTTCATCACCCGAAGACAAGCGAATACTCGTCACGAAGCTACGAGATATGGGTGAGATTGTTGCAGTAACAGGAGATGGCACTAATGATGGGCCGGCGCTCAAGGCCGCCAACATTGGCTTCTCTATGGGAATTGCTGGTACTGAGGTGGCCAAGGAGGCGTCTGCGATTGTGCTTATGGACGATAACTTTTCGTCTATCCTAACTGCGTTGATGTGGGGAAGGGCAGTCAACGATGCCGTGCGCAAGTTCCTCCAGTTCCAGATCACAGTCAACATCACAGCTGTTCTTCTCACCTTCATTTCATCAGTTTCTGACCCCGAGATGCGATCGGTCCTGACCGCCGTACAGCTCCTATGGATTAACCTCATCATGTAAGTTTATATGACTTCCCGACCCAACCTAGGTCTTGGCTGACTGAACGTTCCTATATAGGGATTCCCTGGCTGCACTTGCGCTTGCTACTGATCCCCCAACTGAGGAAATCCTGGAACGCAAACCCGTCAAGGGGGGTGCACCTCTGATCTCTATAACAATGTGGAAGATGATTATTGGCCAATCGATATTCCAGTTAACAGTCACTCTGATTCTTCACTTCGGTCCTCGCCAGAACTTCCTCGACTACCCGGAGGAGTACAGACGGTCCATCGTGTTCAACACCTTCGTGTGGATGCAAGTCTTCAATGAATTCAACAATAGACGTCTGGACAATCGATTCAATATCTTCACTGGCTTACATCGCAATTGGTTTTTCATTGGTATCAACTGCATCATGGTTGGCTGCCAGATTGTCATTGCCTTTTACGGTGGCGCTGCATTCAGCATTGTCGCAATCGAAGGGGAACAATGGGCGATCTGTATCCTTGTTGCAGCAATCTCGCTCCCTTGGGCCATCTGTATCCGCCTGTTCCCGGATGCGTGGTTTGAAAGAATTGCGAAATTCGTCGGCAAACCTGTAGTTCTTGTCTACCGACCATTGAATCGAGGAGCACACCGACTAGGCCAGAAAATTCGTGGCTGGAAGCTTAAATCCGACCCAGCAGAGGAAGAAAAATCGGACCGGTTTACTCCAGGCCAACCGGCCCAGGATCCAGAGAAAGGCCTGTAAGGAGCTGTTCATGATCCTATGGAACAATGGGCTTCTGTAAACCCACTTCCTGCTTGCTTTTGTTCTCGTCCTGGCAAATTGCACCCCTCACTATTGTTCGCGTCTACTTACTTGTACCTACCACTCACACCTATGCAATGTCTACATTCTTGCCTTAGATACATGATGGCTAGCACTTAGCTTAGTGTCTTCCTTTGTCCTGCGTCTGCCACTTTGCATTCCTTACAGCCATCATGGAAGTTCAGCCTGCCTGTCGACAGATACCCTGTCAGTGTTTCTCTTCCTAGATCCTGTATGCTCAACGCTATAGCAAAGTACGAAGATGGTCACTTCGTTATCATGCAGAAAAATACCCAACTCAAGCCCAACAAGAAATTCCGCCGCCTCTCTGGATGCCAGCAGTGTTGGCGAGTAGTATGCAACTGTCTATTCCCACTATAACTGTTGTCAAGAAGTAACTTGGTTATCTTCTGGTTCTTATAATAGGCTAGATTAGCTCCTGCTAAGTTTAATGTAGGGCAGTTTTCCTGAAAGTATTTGGAGAGGCTGAAAGCTTTTTTCGCGCTCTGTGGCTACATGGATGATATGGCGGACCACTACATCATGCTCATGGTTTTAGTTGACTGTGGCTGTATGGAGAGCAGAATTCCCACCCTTATCTTAAATTATCTAGTTGGTGCCACGACTTGGGAACTACTCTATTAATTGTATCTTCGCCTTGTTATGCTCTAAGTCACCAGACTTGCAGAGTAAAGAGAGAGGTCCTAATGTTATGCATTAATCTGCACCCACTAAGAGACAACTGGTAATTCAAACATTGACGTCCTCATCCATGACATGACAGACGTAGGACATCAAACGGAAGCATCCGCAGCGTTGCCACAGTAACATCAAGGCCAACTTTTCCCTCCTTGTAGAGGTCCACAAGCGTACGAACCGTTACTTCTCTAGCAGGTTCAGGTTGCCGCTCCACTGCCTTAGCTTGGGAAGCTGTTGCCTGTAAGTTACAGCAGCTTCTAGCACCCAGCCGTGCAAAATAGGTATCAGAGCTAAAGCGCTGTGCATCTCACTAGCAACAATGTTTCAGTCAGTCATAAGTTTAGAAGTTCCTATTTCTATTAAATGTTGATTCATTTACAACGATTGACATATGTTGTTTATTATCCACAGAGAAATTCTCTCATCTAATTTACCTATTCATTTCACAACTTTCAATCAGCAAGGAATGAAATTTATTGGACCTGTGACGAGAGGAGCGGATACCATCTTACAAATCAAGGTCACCTTGTCGGCCGAATTATTCGACGAATAACTGGCAGACCGCTTGAACAGTTCGTGGCCGACGAAGTCACAGGTCCCTTGGAAGCTGACTTTCAGTACGGCGTACCAAGAACATTGGCCAAGCACAGTGGATGTCATCTCACCGCCAGCGCTGCCGTTTGGCGAGCTGGATCCGCAAAGCATAACGGCAATGGCGATTGCGGGCTCACCTTTTCCCGCTGAGGCTTATATGACACCAGGGTTCAGAAAACTCGTGTCCGGTGCGAACAATGGCTTTTCCAATGCAGATTGGCTAGAATTGATCTATGGTCTCTCTTGACGGTATTCTCTATGAGAACAAGCGCATCATCTCAGCCAATACCATCGACAAATTGCTCACGGAGAAGATAAAAGGAACGGATATTGTCACCTTTGATTTCCTGCGACTTGGTCTTGGCGTGGCTCTGCCATCACCGCAAACTTGTGCCTGGATTTCTGAAGGGCGAATTAGCTTCTAGGGAGGCTAGAGAGGATCAATGATTATCATGGACCTTGACCGACACATGACTATCGCCTACGTTATTGAAAACATGTCTGGTAGAGAAACTCCGGGTAATGGCGACACAGAAGCCTATGTCAGAGAGATTGATAGGGTCATTAATGGACTGTGCTCTTCATCTGCATAGATTCATAGATTTGTCCACCGTTTCCTTAAACGCCTCGACAGCTTAGGGCAGCGTTGAGTAACGATGCGGCATCCGCTCGGGGAGTGTCTGAGTGGTGTCGTCAAGCTCTATCTGGGTAGAAGAAAGCTCAATTGAGCGTGGTAAGTCTGGCTCGACAAATGCGGCGGAAGTTGAGAACATATCTGGACGGAGAATCAAGGCTTTAGGTAGCAGTGGAAAAGTTGGGAGTTCGAATTGATATGATCTGTGCAGGCGCAGACCTCCCGCCATTCTGAGCGTATACCCAGACAGAATAGAATGCAGTTGCAGTGGAGCACTGTTGGAACGGCAGGACAAGTGGGTATCATCCACCCAAGCTTTACTTCGGGTGCACGAATGAAAAGCATGGACTGGGGCCCAGCCCGGGGAAGTAGGGATGTTCCCGCTTCCGCCGAGGCCGTGACTTGCCATGACTTTCTACGCGAACCATGCTTAGTCCTACATGTATTAGACTGGTCATTCCCCACATTCTTCATGGGCAGTGAATTGGTTGCATCAGCTGGATGAATATGTTAGGGACAGACACTGTAATATATTCTGTAATTTGACTTTGTTAGCAGAGACCATGTTTAGAGATGGCTTTCCCTTTTTAGTCAGTGAAGACAGGTATAGTTACAGTATTCAGTCAGATGACTGCAATGACTGCAGTGGAGAAGGTGATACATTAGGGACCAGCACACATATTCATGCTTTATGCGCGTCTAACGCGAAGCACAGCCTTTTCCCCTTAGTGGGGAGGGAACGAAAGAAAACACATTCACACTATAGTATTGAATAGGTTAAATGGTTCAACTGTTTCATGATTGAATAGAGAACATATATTTTCTTTTGGTGCTGGTTACATAGTTCCTGCCACCATGTTGACTAACCCATCAATCAGTAGAAATTTTGTGTTCATTTCTTCTTTCAAATTATAGAGGTGGCAAACTGCCATAGCTATACAAGAATATCATGTGGGGCATATTGGTTTTGAGGTGGGTTTGGTTGACTCAGTGTTGTCTATTTCTGCTTATGTTCAACTGATTAGATCTCCACATATGCATGATGAGGGCGGGCTCTTTGCCATTTCATTCCACACAACCTCTACTATTAATCTAAATAAAAATAGGGTTTCAGGCAGAGGCTGTCTCCTCATCTGTGAACTTGCACCCTTTAGTTGGGTAGGTGGTTGATTTGTACGTAATAAAGATAATCCCATTCAATGATTGGATGAGTGGTTGAGCCGATTACGAGTTTTTCTCAAGCACAGCCAAGGTACGGTTTGCTCTCGTCGTCACCTCATCCAGAGAATGGATGTGGCTGGCTTGAGGAGAGATGACTGCCGCCATATTTGGAGGTATGTAGTTGTCCAGTGCCGCAAAGAAATTGCTCAAAGTCTTCTCAGATGCTTCATCGTAGCGTTCGGTTCCATGAGCCTTGTAAGTTTCAAAGAACTTATTGGTCAGCTCGTCCAGTTCGTTGTGGCTTCCGGTCTGGATAATAGATTCCAAAATGTCGCCGAAGACTGTGAGGGCCCCTCCGCCAAGGGCATAGGGCGGGGTGGTGGCGTATACAAATTGGGCATCACTCAGAATCCATCCGGACCAGATTGCATAGCTAGCATCACGGTGCACGATCGCACATTGATGGGTCGTAAGGTTGACAACTAACCATGCATCCCCTTTACGATAGGTACCAGCGTAGACCTGATCTTGAGAGGTATTGGCAAGATTCCCAAGAGCACATAGAAAGCCGACATACCTTGGGGGTTACAGCAATGAACTTCTTGATAGTGTCTTCAAATTCAACCTTCGTCTGATTGTTCCAATTTTTATCTTTGAAACCCCAGTCACCTTTGTGGCGACTGAACATGTGCTTAAGATTAGGCTCAGGATATTCGACCTTAGACGGATCAAAAGCCATTGAGAAAGCGCAAGAAGAGATCCGCTGACTTAGGGGAGAATGTGTACTGCTCGTAAGTGTTCAGAATTATTAGAGTGCTGCTTGAGGCAGTAATATATGGTAAGACACATGACAGGAGCAGTGGTCTCAACTGTCTCAGAAGGAGCCCTAAGTAGGAAGGAAAGGATATCACTCTAGCATAATTCTAAATGTACTTTCTAGGACCTCATGGCTCATGCTTGATCTGCTTGATTGGGCCGAGACCTTCTGGGAAGCAAAATAAACATAATGGCTTGGGGTCCGTGAACAACTGTTCATGAAGTATGGGGTGGGCTAGAAGAGATCAACCCAGATCCCAGGAAGATCCACCCAAAGAGGTGATAGATTCGGTGATCGGGCCGGCTGGGAATTATGTTCGAGAGAGGAGTTAGATGAGAGCCAGCGCTGATTAGTGACCATAAAAGCTGCAGAGACATTGTACTTTAGTGTGCGGCGCACGGCGCAGTCAGCTTGCATAAATTTTATAACTGAGTGGAGCCGACATTTGAGATTCTGATCCCGTGTCATGGTTATTCCAGGCTCCAGCGCCAAGGATATCGCAGCCTAGCGCTAGATGCTTGTTCTTAGTACCAGGGGTGGGTTAGGGTAATTATGTTTACTTATCAACCACTCCAAATTTAATCACAACCCACATTGGATCCACGATATTTGTCGTCTCTGAACACTTCAAACTTAGTCTAATATTAGCGGAACTCTAATCACTGGCTAGAGTTGCAAGTTGCACCACATGCTTTTCTTCAGAAAAGAAAACAAGCATTTAGAGTGAGTAGTTTGATTAAGCTGGGTACTTCCATGCTCCTTTCCATGACCTCCAAGGCGTATTAACTTTAATTTTTATATTATTCTTTTTTCATCTTTTTATGAAGCAGGAGCACGACACATACACACACTATGTCCATTTCCTGATGTTCAACAGGCTAAAAAGTAATTCAATCCGCTCCTAGTACATCCGTTCCATATCAATATAATCAAATAGTTTAGTAACTTATGTGACCAGGCAACAGGAAATTGATTCCTGCAGCATATTCCAAAAATGGCAAATGTGAAGTGATAGGCTCTGCATAGCATAAACATGATGGTAAGTGTAGACGAAATACGCCTTGCCTAATACGTCTTGAATCTAATGCGAACCACTGCAACATTTCTGTCATCGAACATACCTAGTAAGGCTGTCGCCGCGGCGTTGTTCTTGGGTGTTGCGGCGAAGCCGACAGTGTTACGTTTGGAGATGCGAGGCTGCGCCAAACCCTGTTGCTGGGCAGAGCGCCTCGAATCCTGCCATCGGTCCCCTCCGTTTTGGAGCAAAACACAATCACATTCATTGTTGACCATACTGAGCTGGGGAAATCCGTGAGCTTGGTATGCTCTTTGCAGGGTGCTCTTCCGATAACTCCTTCTGGCCAATCATTTACCTGTGTCGAGGTGACTTCGACTTCACAATTGCGTTCGAAAGAATTTTCTTCTCACTGGTCCCCGCCTCTCTCTTCATTGCTACTGCTTTAGGAAGAGTGGTCTTTCTCTCTTGAAGACCCCAGATTGTGGAAGGAGCCATTTTACGCTGGGTGAAATTGGTACGGACTGCCACCAGACATGCAGACCCAGTCACACCCTATTTTGGTCTTCAAACTACAGCCCTAGTGTTACACAGCGCTGCAGGTCTCCACATTGGGAACTATTGCGAGTTACAGTAGCCCCATTGAGCTACTCACCCCTCTAGCTGCAGAGCTCGTGTCCAGTCTAAGTTTTATGGCCATGTTGCAACAGAGTCAATCTCCAAGCCCGTCAAGCTTACTCCATGTCTATTTTCTTGTCACCATACTACTGGACCTAGCGCAAGTACACACCCTATGGCTTACATAGAAAGCAACGGAGAAATAATTATCCTTCACACGCGACTCCGCAGCTCTGGCTCTGATGAGTGGCAACATTAAAAGAATCAGGCTGGGCTTCTTAAATTACCACGAACACTAGGCAAACACAATCGAGGTTGCTCTTAAAAGACTGCTCCCAATCTAACCTATATACCTTCTAGCAGATCTTGGCAATTGAGTTTTGCAAGTGAAGCTGTGGGGCCTTGAGCCAAAATGGTACCTCCTGCGCATTGAGCACAATATCACCAACTCAAACATGTTCCGATAATGATAACTCCTCCCCTACGCCACGAAAACCAACAGTCTTCTATCCTGGGAACCCCGGTGATGGGTGATGCATGTGTTGAGGTCGTGTCAAGGAAGCTTAAGGATGGTGAATTATATATTTCAGTGTAATGAATGTAGCATGCACACTGCCGAACTAGACTAGGTGGGAAAGAAATGCATGCTTCAACGCTGTTGAGTCAACATGGGTATAGCTATAGCATATTATATTCTTCATCTGAAATCCACTACCTAATAGCGTTGTTGATATCCTTCCTCAGCGGGGTTTCCATGCCTTCCACAACTGAGACATAATGTTCGCCATGCCCTCAAGATCCTCCATATGAAAGGATGGCATTATTCTGTCTTGCCCGGCACTGGAGGCTGCTTTCTGACATAAGTCTGTCGCACCGGATCTCCTTCATGCTCATAGATTACAAATTCGCCGCGCCCAAATTCTGCAGGAGTTTTTCGAACATTCTTCCAGCCTCCAGCTATGAGTCTGACGGGACGATAATCGGGATTTGCTTCCATCCGACGGAAAGCAGAGGCATGAATAACATCATCAGGCCCCATCTCGCGACACCTCCCGTGATGCAGCGGCCAGTGGATGGGCTTCCACTTCCCATTGAGCTGTCTCTCCGCCCGGCGGATTGGCAAATACTCCATGATTCGCCACGCCAGCACGGAGGGGACAGACATCCCGGGACCAAACTCAAGCCGATCATGAAGCTGGCCTGTGATTATGGATTCGTCGAGATTCTTGTAGAACGCATCGGGCGATTCCGGATCGAGGAAGCACCCCTCGTTTTGGAGCTTGTGCGGATCGAACCGCAGTCCGCACAGAGATGCCTCTTGGACCATCCAGACCAGCGGTGCATGGCTGAGCTGATATTTCTTCTCTGTTGGCTCGCGCTGATATCCCCCACCGATGTCTGCATGGCCGCCAGGGAACCACACCTCTTGCACATCGCAAAGTCCATCCTCATCCTCGTCCTCGTCTTCTTCCTCAGTCACATCGGCGACGGGAGCTGCTGCAGGATCGTCCGTTGAATTTGACGCCTCTTCCGGAGACTCTTGGGGAGGGGAAGCCTTCATATGCCGGTGGTGACGGACCCCTCGAGGCTTGTCTGCATTTCTAGGGCGCAACAGAACAGGTTCAAATTTGGATCTGCGTTCGTCGATACTCACCGCGTGCCGTGTTCTCACGGCCGAGGAGCTCATATTATTAAAGATCTCAAAGTCTGCAATGCTGTTGACAGTATCAAACAAGCCCACGAAGCGAGCCCTGACAACCGGGCGGCATAGTGTTTCCCGGCAGTGACAAAGAAAGTCAAACGCTTCTTTGCGCTGATCGCTCTCCACATATACTCTCAGGTTGAACTTCGAAAAGGCTTCCCAGATAAAAGGGATCATCTCTTCGTTATCCGGACCCAGCAGGCCGGCGTAATCCAGCATGTTGGCCAAGAAAAGAGCTGTATAGGCGCCGCGCGAAAAGCCAAAAATGTAGATCTCGGCCCCGGTTCGGTAGTGACGCATGAGGAACCGGTAGCCGCCGAGGACGTGCTGGTCGAACGACTTTCCCAGCGCCTGGCTCAGTGTTTTGCTCCTTCCCAGGCGGCTGCTCTTCTTCAGCGTCATGGCTGCGAGTGAGCCGGGCGTTATCTCGGTGCCAATGCCCGCTGAGCGTGTTAGTCTGTCTGGATTGTTATGGGGGAGGGCGCGGTCGTACGTTGATAGTAGCAAACTAATCAGGGTTAGAATTCGGATCAGACAAATGATTCCGTTTTTTATGAAACGGTAAACGCAAAAAGGAAATACACACATTGTTCATCCGATTTATCCAACATTCGACAAATCTTGAGGATATTCGTCTCCGTGCCATCAGCACGGAATGTGTTTCCTGTGCCATCGAAACACAGGATAATCTGGCGTCGGGGTGTATCCGCCATAGCTACAGCATACGAGAGGTAAGGATGCAGTAGATAGCATGTCAAGGATAGCGAGGATCTTGGTTGTTATCTATATGTTGGAGTGTGCCGACTTGAGTTGGCTGAGCCAGCCACCGAACATGTGCTCGCCGATCACGTCGATCACAACAGCTTAGGGTTAGATTCAAGGACACTTAGACGAACTAGCACTTTTCATGCACAACAAGTGTTCAGCTTCAATGAAAATCCTTTAGGCCAGCGCTTAGCTAGCGCTCCTATTGGAGTAGGAAATTCTTAGTGACGTGTCTCTGCCGCCCACAGAGACGATCACCTGCTGTGGTTCGAGTGTTGCTGGCAATCCTGGCCGATCCTCTCCCAACCGGTGGGGTAAACTCTCCATTCGGGGAAGGTCATACGGCGGTCAGATCTGCACTGCTCATGTTGAGTCTTTCGGAGCCTCCGTTAGGGCGACTTGTTGGTAGATGCTCTCGTTCTGGGTTTGCTTCAAATGCTAGCTTCTGTTCTGACTATATATGATTCTGGTCCCCCAAGACATGGACCCTTATTACAATTAGTGACGGATAACACGTGAAGTGTACATCCAGAGTATGGATGATACTTCTTTATACTTCTAGGCCTCTTTTTCTGATATAATGTGGGTATAAAATATATTCTGTAGAAGAACAAACCTAAGCGGGTATTATCAAAAACCATCACAGGACAATGATATCCAGAACCAGGTCCACATCGACTTATGCGATCCTCAAATACTTGCTGAATTTCTTCTTCAAAGCCCCGAGCAGAACCGGCTTCGCCAGGTAATCATTCATCCCCGACGCCAAACAACGCTCCTGATCGCCCTGGATCGCCGACGCCGTAAGCGCGATAATGAGTA